ACCTCACCGTGACCACCAATTTCTGTAGCCTATGTTGTTTCGATTCAGTGTGTGCGAGAAAGAGAGAGGCTTAGAGAGAGAGTGTGTGTGTGTGTATGGAGGATGAAGGAGGCTACTGTGGAGCAGGCTTCCATATGGTATCGGTGGCCGCGAGAAAGGACATGAACAGAACAACGAGAGAGTGAGGAGAGAGTTCAGGATGGATCGAGAAAGAGAATACTGAATGTGAGGGTTTGATGTTTTTTTTTCTTTATGTTGCTGTTGTGTTATTGGGTCGGGTGAGCAAGACATGGCCCCGTCCCATTGTGTTTTTTGTTGCTTTTTTCTTTTTGTTTTTATTTTGGTGTCTTACAAGTTTGTGGGCTTTTGATACAAGCCCAAACTTATTTTTTATTTTTTTTTAAAAGCTACACTTTTTTTAGATCTTTATTAATTTTTTTTTTCACTTTTTATTTATTAAATTTCTAATGGATTAATTAAGAATTCTTAAAATTCTAATCGGTCAATTATTTTTCTAGTGAATGTTAGTTAATTTTAATTTGGAAAATTTTCTTATGAAAGTTTGACACGTTTTTACGATTTTGATTTGTCATGCTCCTTTAGATTCGTGATTCAACTTTATCTCAGATATATTGAATTAGACTGGGTCTTATAATCAATTTTCATCGCATGATAACTTCTAGGATAGTTTCCCCAATCTAATCTTAGGTCTTTAACATTAGGTCAATTCCCATAGGTTTTCAACTTTAGACAACTTACAAATTAAAATTCTTTTTTCTTCAGCAAGAGAATCAGACATAGTTCATTTATGTAGTTGAGATATAATTCTCCTACCTTATGACATGATCGAGAAAGATGTAGAATCTTTTCCGCTTGAGAGAGGTATGTGGCATACTCGTCGATTATATATCTGAGTCGGAGCCCTTCTTTCAAGACAAAGCAAAGACCGTCTTCCATATGTTTGTGGTGGTTTAAGTCGAGTATTCTCCTTAAAATCACGACTTGTCTCTTCTCCTAAAATCAATCAAACAAACTTCTCCCCCCGGAACCCTGTCTACAGTCAAGAGTTCCACATCCCTTTAGGGGAACTACGAATGCTCTAATTCTTTTAGTCAAGATACGTAGGCACAAGATGCGATGTCTTGACGAGCATACTTAGGACTAACACCTTAGGTCTCTATTTAGCAGACAAAATAACAAATAACACAATAAAACAAGACGTTCCTATAGAGTACTACAAATACTTAAGATGCTAACATCTTCCCTTAGTATAACCAACCCTCGAACCTTAGATTCTCTTTGCATTGCATATTTTGGATTATTCGATCTTTTTCCCTTCCCTTGGACAATTTAAAGACCGGTGGTGAATAATGATTTGCAATTTCAAGTTAACCAATAGCTTGATATCCAATTCTCACCGCGACACAAGCATATGATGCATCACCATCCTTTGATATCTAAAAGAAATCCTCATCTATTTCCATAATTTTCGTCCACAACCTATAAGCTCCTTCTTTATAACCCCACATATTCAGCAACTTACGGATGCTTCATATTGTCCATTTGTCTATGTGTTTCCCAAAAACATGTGTATCAACACCCCCTTTGTAAATGATGTCATTTTGCATGTCCAATATAAATTCACCCTCATGGGAAAAATTCACATTAAAATGTTGCATATCCTATGAAATGGATTTGAAACAACATTTAAAGTTCAATGTCTTCTTCAACCAACAAAATCTCAGACATTGGAAGAGAATAGAAGAAAATTCTGAAAACTTACCTCACACATGATAAGCTTCAATGTGGTCTTCAACAATCCACAAACAAACTTCGTCTTCGTCTTCAACCCAACTTGCCTAATTTGGGATTTTCCTGAAACCCTAACATTTACAGGGGATTAAATAATACAATTACAAAATGTGAAAAAAATTAACATATATGCCATGCTGTTAAAATTAATCCACCTGGCCATTAAAATATATGTCACGCTGGAAAAATAAGGGAATATGGGATGAAATAGTGCACACGAGGGCCTTACAAAATGAATTTGGGTATTACGAGGGAGAATAAAAAAAAATTCTTTTACACGAGACAAAAGCGAGTCTTATTTACATTGCAGGGGATGTTGTATATATATATATATATATATATATATATATATATATATATATATATATATATATATATATATATATATATATATATATATATATATATATATATATATATATATATATATATATATATATATATATATATATATATATATATATATATATATATATATATATATATATATATATATATATATATATATATATATATATATATATATATATATATATATAAGTTGTTACGATTCTTATTAATTTTTGCCGCCAAAATTAGCGAGTCTTATTTACATTGCAGGGGATGTTGTGTATATATATATATATATATATATATATATATATATATATATATATATATATATATATATATATATATATATATATATATATATATATATATATATATATATATATATATATATATATATATATATATATATATATATATATATATATATATATATATATATATATATATATATATATATATATATATATATATATATATATATATATATATATATATATATATATATATATATATATATATATATATATATATATATATATATATATATATATATATATATATATATAAGTTGTTACGATTCTTATTAATTTTTGCCGCCAAAATTAAGGATATTTTTATAATTTCACCTATTTATTTATTATTATTTTTATTTAATTAATTTATAAAATTTCTTTCAATTATTTATTAATGGATAAAAAAACACAAAATAGAAAGAAAATAATCACGTTCCCAACTAACTTATTGGCTTCATAAGTGGTTGGTTTTGTTTTTATGACTTCACATTTGAATTATTCAATAAATTATGATTAATATTTAAAATAAATATACGATTTTAATATTTATTACTTTTTTTTATAACACCTCATTAATCTCACTACTTTATTGTATATAATTATTTAATTAATTAATATTGCACACTATTTTATCCGACTAACAAAACCAACTTCTTCCCTCGTTAAATTCTTCACGCTAATTCACTAATTCTTAAAATAAAAGAGTAGGATTAATGAAGCGGATGTTCTGCTTATGATTTGTAGGAATAGCGAAGTTGCTAAGGTGGTGAAAAGGAGAAGGGCCGAAACATCTCTTTTTTGGAAAAATCTTAAAATCAAAGAAAACATGCTTTTGCAGAAGTCTAGATTGAAGTGGGACAACGACAAAGATACAAACAACAATTTTTCCCATGGTTCTATGAAGGAAAAAAGGCGTAATAACTTTATCGGTTATATTAATACAACTTATGGTTTGGTTGATTCCGTGAGAGAAGTCAAGGGGGAAGTAAATAGGCATTTCTATGAGAAATTTGTTGAAGAAGATGTTTTTCGCCCCAATTTGGATGGTCTTAATTTTAGCAGACCTACTGAAGCTGAAAGCAGGATGTTAGAAGACATTCCATTCATATTGAAATTAAGAAGGCGGTGTGAGGTTGCGAGGGTTCGAAGAGTCTGGGACTCGATGGATACAATTTTTTTTCATCAGAAAGTGTTGGTATTTTATTAAGGATGACTTTGCTCGCTTTTTCCATGATGTTCATGATCATGCAGTGCTATCTAAGTCTATATCTTCATCCTTTTTTAACTCTGATATCGAAGAACGCTAATCTGTTAGACCTTGATGATTACATGCCCATTTGTTATTGTTGTCTGTCTATATAAAGCCCTTTCCAAACTCTTGGGTGCCAGAATTAAAAAGGTCCTTGGATCAATTATTTCTCCTTGTCAGAGCGCTTTTGTCCCGGGAAGACAGTTGATGGATGGGTGGTGGTGGCGAATGAGATTGTTGATTTTGCAAGGAAAGAGAAGAAGGAGTGTTTACCTTTTAAGGTGGACTTCGAAAAGGCGCATGACAAAGTGAACTGGGAGTTTCTCAAATATATGATGAGAAGGATAGGGTTTGGTATTCTTTGGATGAGATGGATAGAGGCTATCATTTTCACGATTTATATGTCTGTGTTAGTCAATGGAAGTCCGACAAGTGAGTTTAGACTGGGCAGGGGTCTCAGACAGAGCAATTTGTTATCCCTTTTTTGTTTGTTCTTGTTACGGAAGGGCTGTCTGGTTTGGTTAAGAAGGCTCACAACATTGGCAAATTATTCGATTTTTAAGGTGAAGGACCAATGTATGGTTGACACTCTGCAGTTTGTCGACGATACACTCTTAGTTGGAGAAGGTAGTTAGAAACATGCGTGGTCTCTCACGGCGGTTCTTAGAGGGTTCTTGATAGGATGCTAAATTAGAACCCTAACAAACTTAGAAAAATTGTAAAAATCTAAACCATAAAGAAGACAAATAAAATAAAAGAGATAAAACTAAAAGATAATAAAAGATAACACTTGATTTTCTTGATGCCTTACAAAAGAGGATAATACCCTTGTTATATACTATTCTAAATAAATGTTAACCATCCAAGTGTCTCAATCTTAAGAGTCCTAAGAACATTCTAGAAAACATAATAATCTAAAATAATTCCTAATACATCAAAATACTAATAAAGCTTATTTAACTAATGATAAATTATTCTATTAACCTCCATATCATTGTCGTCGGGTTCACTTGAACCTTGTCCTCAAGGTTCTAAAATCAATATCAAAATTCATATATTGTTCATGGATCCCATTGCTTGAATAACAAATTATCACTGTGATTATTTGCAACACAAACTTCAGTCTTGGAAAAATTCATTTTCCCATGAAAGGCGGTGCCTATAATCTGGTTGGACAATGAGTAAAAGTCTAGTCTTTGAATAGCATTAACAAGGACTTCTGAAGGATGACCGGGTTGAACACTAACCTTTGTATCCCATTTCTTTCCTTTTACTTTTGGTACAGCAAGAATGTATAGGAAAAAATAACAACTCTAAAAGTGTTTAGTGTAAACTAAAAAAAACTTTGAGTCATGAGCATCCAACATTCCTATGTTCCTCTCTATAACGAAATATGTGACAGATTTTTCCAAAGAAATTTTATGAAGATCCAGCAGTGCAGAAAAGTTGTGTGTTTTGGCTGTAGAAAAGTTGTGTGTTTTGGCTGCACAAACCCCAATTAGTTGTTCTGAGGCGTGGATTGCAAATGAAAGTGTGGTATTTGTCTTGCCCAAATCTCTAACAGGCAGTTCCTCAAACACCTCATGTGCATCTGCCACCAATTCAAATTTCAAGTAAGTATTAACCAAAGCACTTCCAACAAAAACATATAATTCCAACCCAAGCTTAAACAACAATCCATGAATCTTCTTAACCTCCAAAACCTCTGCATAACCACCACAAGCTCTACTCACAAATGGGAACGTGAATTCATCAGAAACAACAATACCCAGATGACGCATTTGCTTATCCATGGTAGCAACATCACCACCAAGATAAACATGTTCAACTATAAAAACTTTGTTGAAGGATTTTTCTTTAGTAGAATTAATCGAATGTGAAACTTTGTTGAAGAGATTTTTGCTCGATGTTTTTGACAGAATGACTTGGAAAGCTTCATACCTTGGTTTCGGTTTTATATCGGGAGGTTTCGATGGTAGGTTTGGTGGTTCTGGTTGCAGATATGATGGTTCTTGTATTGATGCTGAAGTAGTCGTCGGAAGTGAGGCCGAGATTTTCAACGAAGAAGACTTTGAAAATGGGACTGGAGAATTTGTCGGAAATGTTGTCAGAGTGGTAAATGTCGCTGAAGAAGTTACCGGTAATGTTGTTGGAGTGGTAAATGTTGCTGGAGAAGATGTCAGAATTGTCGCCGGAGATGCATTTTTCGTTATTATTTCTTCTTTTGGACAATTTTCTTCTGTTGCTTCTGATTCTTCTTCTGTTTCCGTTAAAGTTCGATCTAAGGTGTCACTTTTAAGAGATTTTCTACATAGATCTGATGATGATGGTTCTTCTACATCATCTTCAACAGTTTCAGAGATTGGATCCATGGATTCCATTGATTCATAAGTTGATTTCAGAGTTGGATCATCCTCTTCGTCTTCTGGCAAAATTTCTCTCCATTCTGGTTTAAATCTCCATAACAAATTTGTTGTAAATGTATCCCAACTATATCTACAATGAACACGAGACCCCCATATCCACCATTTCAGAGCAGAACCTCTCAAAGCTCCAACAACTTTCAACACCTTCAATGACTCAGGTGTTCCATGCTCTTTAAAAAATTTCTCAAAACAAAGAATCCACCAATAGGCATCTTTTTCTCCATTAAATAATAATATTGTCATGAGTTAAAGCGGAAAGTGAGATCGAAAATGAAAGCACCAATTGATAGGATGCTAAATTAGAACCCTAACAAACTTAGGAAACTTGTAAAAATCTAAACCATAAAGAAGACAAATAAAATAAAAGAGATAAAACTAAAAGATAATAAAAGATAACACTTGATTTTCTTGATGCCTTACAAGAGAGGATAATACCCTTGTTATATACTATTCTAAATAAATGTTAACCATCCAAGTGTCTTAATCTTAAGAGTCCTAAGAACATTCTAGAAAACATAATAATCTAAAATAATTCCTAATACATCGAAATACTAATAAAGCTTATTTAACTAATGATAAATTATTCTATTAACCTCCATATCAGTTTTAAATTATTTCGGGTCTTGGAGCGAATTTTTTTAAAAGAAAATTGATTGGTAAAAATATTAGCAAACATTTTTTTGCTAGCTACTGCTAATTTCTTATTCTGCAGGATTAAAGCTTAAAAAATTACTTTTCTTGACATACTGATCGGAATTAATCCTAAGAGGATAGCGTCGTGGAGTCCTTTGGTGAGTAAGTTAAAATTGAGCCTCGCAAATTGGAAATGGAAAATTTTGAGCCTTGGAGGTAGAGTTATTTTTGAGCCTATAAGGTAGAGTTACTTTTCTTCTTTATTTTTACAAAGCATCGATGTCGATTTGCAAAAAATTACGAAGATTAAAAAAATTCTTTTGGACGGGGCAGAAGGCAGCAAGAAGGTGCATTGGGTTGGGTTGAAGAAATTGTGTTTGCTAACAGAAAAATGGGGGCTAGGTTTCAAAAGAATTGAGGAATTCAACAACTCTTTGTTGTTAAAGTGTATATGGAGAGTAGTTAAGGGTAAAGACTCTATGTGGATTTGGGTCTTGAAGGCTAGGTATGGTAACTTGAATCATCAGGTTTTAAGTTCGATTTTTACTCGTAGGTATGCATTTGCTTCCTCTTTGTGGAAAGATATTTTGTTGTTAGAAAGGAGAATGGAAAAGAAGATTTTTAAAGACAACTGTGGTTTCTCTTTAGATAGAGGGCATTTTATTCCGTTTTGGCATGCTGTTTGGAATAGAGATGTGAGCATGCGATCAACATTTCTAGACTTGTATTGTTTGAGTTCAGCTAAGATGGAGAATATGACAGGAATGGGTTGTTGGCTCCAAGGCAGATGGTATTGGGAGATTTGGGAATTCCTGAGTCTTCCAATGCAGAAGTGTTGTTCAGAGTGCAGATTTTAAGGTCACTCTTATCTAATGTTTCTCCTTGCAGGGATCAATTGGATATGGCATTCTAGAACCCAGATCCGATAGCAGGATACACGGCTAAGTCGGGTACGAAATAATGTTTGATTCTCTGCACTCCGTTGTTTCTGATGCAAGTATGTAGTTAGCTTTCTCTTTATTATGGAGATCCTCGGTTCCTTTTAGAATGGGGGCTTTTGGGTGGAGATGCTTCTTAGATAGACTTTCGTCGAAGGAGCAATTGCCTGGGCACGAAATCGTCAATAGTTCTGATACATCATGCGTCCTATGCAACTCCGAGTTTGAATCCTTAAACCATCTTCTTTTCAACTGCCATATTTCTAAGTCTATTTTGATAAAGGTGGTTGTGTAGATAAGGATGGAAACGGTTCAACCAGGCAATGGGTGGAGCAATTTCCTCTTCTAGTCTAAGTTTTCTTCTAAGAAGAAGGTGAAGAAGGGTAAGGTAGGTTGCTTATGGCTGGCAGTGTGTTGGATTTTGTTGAAGACGAGAAACGACATTGTGTTCAATAATGATACCTGGGCTGTTTCAGATATGGTGTGGAATATCAAAATTTTGGTTTGGAGGTGGTCCCAAATTGGAGAAATTAATAATTCTAAATGTAATTTTTTTGAATTTTGTAATCTTCTTTTACATTATTTAACGTAAATTTTATTTGGTTTTAATTTTTCCTTTGTTCTGAATTTTTTTTTCCAATTTTATAATTGGGTTAGAGTATCCCTAATACTCTTTAATCCATATGTTGCTTAAAAAAATTCCTAATTCTTTTAACTTTTTCTACTACCCATTTCTTCTGCATAAATGCTTATCTCAACTTCTTAAATTCAAATCATGTGAACCAAATCTTAATGGGGATGCACTCCAAATCACAATATGTAATCCTCTTTATTCTATTGTTGTGTCTCTTTTTTATTTATGTTTTATTTTTTGTTTACACATGTTTATAGAAAGTAAAATTGTACATAGAATTAAGATATATTTCACTATTATTATTCAATTGTCAATAATTTTTTTATATTTTTTTGTTTTTTTTCCCGGTAAAACGAAGGTCATTTCTAGGGCTGGAAATGAGTCGAGTCGATTCGAACTCACCTCAGCTCGGCTCGACTCGTTAAGAATTGTTCGAATTCGAGTTCGAGTTCGAGTTTGACACGAACTTTTTTTTAAGCTCAAACTCGACTCGTTATAAGTTCACGAACAGTTCGGTTCGACTCGTTAGGTTCATCTCATTAGGTTCAGCTCACATGGTTCACGAACTTAAAAACTATTTTTTTAAATATATATATTTTTTAGTATATTTGACATTTTAAATAAATATATATATATATATATATTTTAAATAAAATATTAAAATAAAATAAAAGTTATCATATTGAAATTTAACTTTATCTTCGAAATCTACTAATTCAAAACCTACACAACTTTCAAGAGATACATTTGAGAGTCTAATTCAAAAACTACTAAATTGAAGATTAAATTTGTCTAAGATTTGAAGTAAATATTTAAACCTAATCTTAAAGACAGTATAATTATTTTCATATGTAATCGAGTTGACTCATGAACCTAACGAGTCGAACTATGTATAGTTCAAGTTCAGCTCATTTAGTTAACGAACTTAATTTTTCGCTCATACTCAACTCATTTGGTTCATGAACCTAGTTCAACGATTTAATTGTCGAGTCGAATTCCGAACTATCTTCGAGTTGGTTTGGTTCATTGCCAGCCCTAGTCATTTCTGTAATTTGATATGTTTGTTTGTTTTATTTATTTATTTGATAATAATTATTTCACTAACTTGATATTTTTTTATTTATAAAGTAGTAGTAGTATTTCTCTCAAACAATAAAAATTGGAACTTCATCCATAACTTTGCAAGCGACTATTCATCAAGTTTTTTTTTTTTCATTTTAGTTTTGTTTTTGCATGCATAGCATGTCATAGAAAAAATAATTACATATGGAAAAAAGATATTCTTCATTTTTATTGTTTTTTCATTTTATTTTGTTTTTGCAGGTATAGCGTGTCAGAGAAGAAATAACTACATATGAAAATAAGATATTATTCATTTTCGTTGTTTAATTTTTATATTTCATTAACTTAATATAAAGTAAAATATTTTTAACTAAAAAAAATTATATTTTTCCTTACTAGCATAAACAATTCTTAAAATCTCTAGGTGACAAGCAAATTTTACTATTCACCTTATATCTTTCGGCTTTATTTTTTGAAGCATTATAAAATATTTAAAAATATTAACGCAAAAATTGAATTATAAAAGATGATAGGTAAAATATTTTTTTTAATTCTTTAATTTTATTTTGGAATCCAATTTAATCTTTAATTTTTAAAATGTTTAAATTAATCCTTTAACTATTAAAACAGCGTCACATTAGGCTTTCCAAGTAGCATTGTAACGTGTTGATGTGGATTTAACATGAATAAAGAAAATGTCCAAGTGGCATTGTTAAACAAATCCCAACAAAGCATCATCTAGTTATAGATGGAGCCATTTAAAGCAACACCAGATCTACAAGTGACCTTGATACAAAAGGAACTCGAAGGATGATGAGGAGGAAGTAGATGGCTTTGGTGATAAAGCGGAAGGAACACGATGGTGCTTACCAGTTTGAGAGGGCGGATGGATTAGTGGTTTGAGGTGAGTTTCCTTGATGAATGAGGCTTTGGATCAGAAAAAACGGGTCTCCGAAAAAAGTGAAGCTTGGGTATGATCGTTTTCGCCGGAAAAGAAACAACGGTGGTTCAGTGAAGGATTTTGGGAGATGAAAATGGTGAGGTTAAGGGTGTTCATAGGGTGAGAAATGGAATGCGACGGAGATGTAAAGGAGGACGGCGTTTGAAGCTCGCGAGAGAGATGACTGGTTTGATTTGAGGAGTCATGAACAGAGGGAGATATGGATGCGTTTGTAATGATTTGGCTGTAGGAGAAGAAGAAATCTCAAAGCAAACTCTCGGTCCTCCATTCATCAATGGCGGAAAAAACTTCACAGAAGTGATCAAAAACTACACAGCCAAAAAAAAGAACTTCAAGCTTCATCATCAACTCTTTTGAGAACCCAAATTTACTGATAAATCTCAAATCAAGAATCCATTTCAAAATCAAAAACGCATATTTGTTTCATTTTCTAAATTTTGACATAAATCTAAACTTTCATAATCTGATAGGATGATAAATAAGAACCCTAACAAAATTAGAGAAAACTATAAAATCTATCCTATGAAAAAAACAAATAAAACTTAGAGATAAAATAAAAATAAAGACTTTCATTGATTTCTTTGATGTCTTACCAGAGTGGATAATACACTTGTTATATACTATTCTAAATAAATATTAACCATTCAAGTGTCTCAATCTTAAGAGTCTTAAGAATATTCTAGAAAACATAATAATCTAAAATAACTTCTAATATATCAAAATACTAATAAAAATTATTTAACTAATGATAAATTATTCTATTAAGCTTCATATCATTGTCACCGGGTTCACTTGAACCTTATCCTCAAGGTTCTAAAATAACCTTAAAATAGATATTGTCTTCAAAATAGATAGTAAATCCCAAAATATTAAAAAAAAATGATATATTTTTCAACCCAATTCATGAGGAACCAAAACAAAATTGACAATGGTGCAGTATGAGGCTTAGGTGGTGGATTGTGGTGCAAGATTTTTTTTCAAAAAGCCAAAATTGATGGATTGAAAGACCCAAATTGTAGAAGCCCTAAAACAAACAAAAAATACTTTTAAACATTTTTTTTGGGCTAAAGGACCCGACCCAATTAATAAAGGAAGAGAAGGAAAAATTTGTAAACCTAATATTAGTTAGAAGAAGCAAAGCGACGACTCCCACCTCAGCATCTTTAACGTGAAAGGTGAATTTCCATTGCCTTGATTTGTTTTTCCTTTTTTTCTCTTTCTATCCAATTTTCTCGCTCTTTCTCTGCTGCTCTTCTTATTTTCTTGTTTCTTTTCTTCCATTCTCTTTCTTCCAGCAAATATGGTGATTTTAATGGTGGTTTCAACGGTGAAAATGATTGCGGATCCGGTGGTTTTAATGGTGGTTGAAGCTGTGGAATGATGAATGGTGGTGGGTCTAAATATTCTGACAGTGGCTGTTGCAAATCCGATGGCTTTTTTGGTGGTAGCAAAAACGTATTTGTGAACAAAAAACATGTTTGTTTATGTATTTCTTGCGTTAATATTAGAGTCGCCACCTTCGCAAGGGTTGACTTAATTGTTGAAGAAATTCTTGGAGTCAGAAAAATCGTCGAACAATTCGTCAGAAGTGATGTCAGAGTAGCCGAAGAAGATTTCAGAGCTCGTTGTCGAAGAAGATGTCGGAAATATCGTCAAGAACTTCATCTGATATGTTGCCGGAGTCGGAAACTTCGCCAGAAATATGTTTGGAGATGTCTTCGAATGTGCCGTCAGAGGTATCACCGGAAATGACGGCGGAGACTCTGTTGGAGTTAACTTCGGAGACTGTTTTAGTGAATCAGGATGTTTTTCTTCTTCTTCCTATTGTTGTTCTAGTTTTTTTTTCAACAATAAATTGTTGAAACTTTTCTGTGCATTTTCTTTGGGCATTAGAAAACTCTTGTGATGAAGTTTTGAGAGAATAACTCAAATTTTGAATCAATTCCTTCAACTCTTTTCTATGTTCATTTTTAATTTTCTGAGTTTCAATCAAATATTGTTTTAGAGTTTCTAGTTGCGAATAGAAATCTTGGGATTGAGGTTGGTAGCTATGGTAACTTGAATGTTCATGGAAGGTGGAAGATGATTGTTGAGGTGAAGTAGAAATTATGTGTTGTTGTTGTTGATATGAAATATATGGAGTGTAGGAATAATAATATGGATATGCCATGGAAGGGAAGGATTGAAGTTTAAGAATAAAAGCACCAATTGTTAGGATGCTAAATAAGAACCCTAACAAAATTAGAGAAAACTATAAAATCTACCCTATGAAAAAGACAAATAAAACTAAGAGAGAGATAAAATAAAAATAAAGACTTTCATTGATTTCTTTGATGCCTTACAAGAGTGGATAATACACTTGTTATATACTATTCTAAATAAATATTAACCATCCAAGTGTCTCAATCTTAAGAGTCCTAAGAACATTCTAGAAAACATAATAATCTAAAATAATTTTTAATATATCAAAATACTAATAAAAATTATTTAACTAATTATAAATTATTCTATTAAGCTCCATATCATAATCTAAACTATATCATTTCTTCTTTTGATTTATAAATTCCTTCTTTTCATCCGGTTCATGTTACAAAATCTAAAATTCCTTTGATCCATTTACGTTTTTAATGTAAATCTTGTGGTGTGTTTAGAGTTGAGTTACTCACATGTTTTGGAATAGTGGGAGAAAAAACAATGAAGAAATATTGGGTTTTTGATTTTGGAATCTTTATTGATGAATGGATATTGAGTTTTGTGATATTTGTAGCTGTTATTATGGAAGAAGAAGGTTGCGAATATAGACTTCTGGATGGAACCCTAATCCTTTAATTTGATTTCTCATGAAATTGCAAAACACAAATGTAGAAGAGAGTGGAAAACAAGAAGAACAACCATGTCATCTGCCACGTTGTCATTCGCAAACGTCCGTTTGGAGGAGACAGACGAAAATAACTCACATGCTCTATTTTAAATACTTAAGAGATCGATTTAAACATTTTAAAAATTAAAGAATTAAAATGGACTCTGAGATAAAGTTAAGGGACAAAAAAGGGTATTTTGTCCAGATGATAAGTTAAAAGAACTATATTTGGTTGATTTCTTAATTTTTCTTTATCTAATATTGGTATTAAACTTTTAACCCATAATATTACAATAGATTGTAAATTATCTCATTATTGGCCGCTTTTGATAACATTTAAACTATTAAATTTTACTATTTTTTTATTATAAATTTAATTTAATTTATTTTATTATGAAATTTAAATATACACAATAGTAACAACTTATATAACCTTTTAAAATTTTATTTTAAAAAATTATTTAGATTTCTTTTCATTTTAATTTAAGTTCTTAAGTCTATATCTCATTGTTTTTATAATATTGTAATTTTAAAATTATTTTTCAATTATAATAATTAATAATTATGTATTTATAATTCCTTATTTAAATTACCTAAACTATTAATAATAATTTTATCAAAGTTATTTGTGCATATCGCACTCATATATATATATATATATATATATATATATATATATATATATATATATATATATATATATATATATATATATATATATATATATATATATATATATATATATATATATATATATATATATATATATATATATATATATATATATATATATATATATATATATATATATATATATATATATATATATATATATATATATATATATATATATATATATATATATATATATATATATATATATATATATATATATATATATATATATATATATATATATATATATATATATATATATATATATACACTATTCTTTTAAGAGTAAAGTTTATTTCTAGATCTCCTTCAGTAGTTTGAATTATTTGATCTATATCCCTATTAAGGATAGGTTCAGGATACCCAGATCTCTATCTGCTAGACACTCAGTTAGTGAATTTTTCGCAGCTTCTAGCCAATTACCTAGACCTTCTAATTCTCAAACAAGAGAATAGATAGAGGTCGTTGAGAATATAAGACTTAGCGAAAATAGAATTCCCCAAGGAATTTATCAAAAACCTAATACTCCAAAAGTAGAATCACCTACTCCGTCAGATATGGATTTCCAATTATAATGTTAGATTACTCCCCTGGTAGCAAGATAAGACAACTCATCAATAATGAGTTTCAACATGAGAGATATACTCAATTCAGAGAATGGTTTTTTTTTAAAATTTCAAAACCCGAATTAGCTCAATTTAAAAATGAGTACTACACTCAAATGAACCTTGAGCAGGATTTTATTCCTTTTGTGAAATGGTTTGTTAACTATTTCATAAGTAAAAAATAAGAAGAAATTCTTGTTTTACAAAGACCTTAGGAAAATATTATAGGCGAAATACTGGAAGCCCCTTTTCCCCTGAACAAACAATAAGTTTGAGTCAAAATACTGAAGCTACCCCTTACCTTAATCTTCAGTTACAAAGAGTTGAACAAAATCAAGTTACTCTTAAAGAATTAAATTTTGTCATCAGGTCTCAGAATTATACCAATGCCTATCTTGTTTGCTTAGGAGAACAATTGATCTCTATGGAAAAATTCTATTATCCATAAAAAATCTTTTAGAAAAACAAATAGCACGTCAAGATATCATTATTGACCTCATAAATAAACCTAAGGGCCAGATGTTCACATCCGCTATTTCGGATGTTCCTATAGTATAACCTCCTGTTCCCATAAAGGGATTCAAAATGGAAACCAATGGTCAAGAATTTGTTCGTATTTTGGAACAAAAGTTAAAAGGTCTTAATATCACAGTTATGTCCCATGAAGATTATTCTGAGGATAATAATAAAAACCATATTGACCAACTAGCTGATATGTTTGCTAATTTAGACATTAATAACCTTGATATTAATAATACTAATAGTATAAACCCTATTTATTCTCCTAAACCTATAGAAAAGTATTATTATAAGCGTCCCTCACCGTAAGATTTGTTCTTTGAGGAAACAGAACCATTCCAGAATTCTTATTCAGGAAAAGCCATTTATGAATGGAATGTGGATGGTCTCAATGGCAAACAAATTATAGATACAATCCATAGAATGATCATGTATTCTACTATCTGCAAGCAACATGGAAATTCAGACAGTTCTATAGCATACTTTATAACTATAGGATTTGTTGGCCAACTTAGAGGCTGGTGGGATCATTATCTCACTGAATCCCAAAAATTAGAGATTCTTAATCATAAGAAAATTGTTAAGATAGAGCCAGGAACCAATACGAGCACTACTCTGTCTACCACCACCACTGGAGAAGAAGACGCAGTCTATACTCTATGTCTTTCCATCTTACAACATTTTGTAGGAACTAATGTCCCCATTGGAGAGAAAATCCAGACACTTCTCCAAAATCTGAGGTGTCCTTCACTCACCCATTTTAGATGGTATAAAGATAATTTTATTTCAAGAGTTTATCAATTAAACAATCCTAATTCTTTGCATTGGAAAGCAAAGTTTATTGATGGATTACCTCATTTCTTTTCTGAGAAGGTTAGACAATCTTTAAGACAGAAAAATGATGGGATAAATATAAATTATTCAGATCTTACTTATGGTCATATAATTAGCACTTGTGTTGATGAAGAATTAACTTTATATAATGACATAAAGCTTAAAAATCAACTCAAAAAGCAAAAGCTTTTTGAGAAACACCAAATTGGTGAATTTTGTGAACAATTTGCTTTTGATCTTGGAAAATCTCCAGATAATAATAAAAAGAAAAAGGGAAAAAATTTCCGTAATAAACCTTATAGGGATAAGTCTAAAAATTCTTACAAGAATAAGAAAAGGAGTCACTACAATAAAGGTAGACCTAAAGAAAAATGTTTTGACCCTAAAGGTAAAAGAAAAGTCAAAAGGCTTGACATAACATGTCATAAATGTGGTAAACCTGGCCATTATGCCAACCAATGCTGGACTAAAAAAGCTCTTAATGAGATAGAAGATGAACAATTACGTTCTTAATTAGAGAAATTTTTACTTCTCAATTATGATTCTGAAAATTATTCTTCAGAAGAAGATATTAATATGATCTATGAACCCTCTACTGATTCCTCTTCTGAATATTCTGACAATAATGATTGTCAATGTAGTCAATTAGATTATTGGAAATCAATTGTTGAGATGAATGGGTTAAATGTTTTAACCTCGGAACAGGAGGAAGCCATAAAAGCTATAGAATCCATTTCTGATAAAAAACTAAAAAGAAAAATGCTTGAAGTCTTAATACAAGAAAACTCTAAAAAAGAGTTTCCCCTTTTTACAGAAGCACCTTACCAATTAAGTGAGGTTTTTTCTAGATTTAGACAGTCTAACATCCGTGAAACTCCCGTTTCTATTATGGATTTAAATAGAGAAATAAACCTCTGAAAAAATGAGATATCTCAGATTAAAAATGAAAACTATGGTTTATCTCAAAGAGTCATTTTTTTAGAATCCAATCATTCAAAGGTTGAAGAAATAGCTTCAACTAGTAATCTTTCACCTAGTGATGATTTCCTTTCTCTCATTGATAGAGTGACCTCTCAAAAATGGTTTGTCAGAATAACTATAGTTATTAATAGAAATTTCATATTAGAAAATGAAGTTGCCCTTATTGATAGTGCGCTGATTTAAACTGCCTTCAAGAGGGATGTTGTGAATCAGATACCTTTAAACAAAGTATAAACGGTTTCTTAATGATCAAGAAACACACAAGAGTTAGGGTTAACAAAGAAGACAAGGTAAAACAACAAGGAACAACAAAGATTGTTGCTAAGCAAATTTTTGCTAGCTGCCAATCTCAATTATCTATGTTTGAATTTGACATTCAACACATTAAAGGTGAAATAATTCACTTGCTGATTATTTAACTCGTGAAATATTTGCAGGGGAAAAAATGATGACCCCATATAGGGGAAGAGGCCGCGGTTATGGCCGTGGTGGAAGGGGGAGTAACAATATATTACCCCAGCCAGAATCAAACATTTCTCTAATAGGGGATTGGACTACAATCTACAAAGGTAGAAAAATGCAACAATTACCTGCATCCTCATCTAAAAAGGAAGATATTCCTTCCTCCTCCTCTAATAAAAGTACATCTTACAAAGAAGTTGCGGTGAATAACCCACCTCAAGAGCAATTGGATTATTTTGAAAATCCAGTAACTGAAAAAATCATGTATATTGATGAAGAGGATATCAAAATAAATTCAAATGATGGATGGTCTATCAAAACTAGATACCTCGAATTAAGAGGATATCCAGGCCTACATGGAAAATTTAGGCCTCATCTAGAAATTCTTCTAATCGTTACCGAATTGGTAACATTTACTCACCATTACCAGAATAATAATCCTGAAAGTTTTATAAACTTCAGCAAATGTCACATTAATAAAATTATGTTACCAAGAGAATGGGGCCTCAATCCAAATGGTGAAAAGGCAATAAGAATTGCAGAAGGAAAGTATATTTACTTTAATTACTAGGACTATGTCCAAGATTTTACTCAAAGCTTTTATTATCAAAGTCCCAAGAATAAACATTCTTGGTTTTTCTCAATTAATCCAGAGATGATTAATAAACCTATACCAAATTGGTTTTATGAATGGTGGACTAAATTTGGTCCATCTTTGGAAATACTACCCAAATAATTACTTGATTTATACAATCCATGGTGTGACAATAGCCCACTTATTACAAAAAATTTATCTGATAATTTAATCACCGGACAATATCCATTTTTGTTCTTTACCAAATTTCAGATTCCATGGATATGGAGATGGTCAATCGCCATATCTTAGGATAAATTCAACATACCCATTTTAGAAATAAATTTCTTCTATAAATGGTGGAACAAAATGAGTTCCGAAGAAATCCAGAAAATAGGAAATTTAATTCAAACAGCTATAGCTGAAAACCAAAGTAATAAGGTCAAAGAGCAAAGCTCCCAACAAATGTATATGGGAAATCTGAAGAACTTCTTCCAGAGAAAATATCCAAATGAATCAGAAGATGAAATCATGGTTAGAACTTTGGACCATATGAAAAACCAATTCTTCTCCATTTTTCCAACAAAGGCATCAAAAGATGAAGATTCATCTATGAAGACCAGTTCTTCCATGGGATCGATTGATTCCCACAACTTTGACTGTTTGGCAGGAGAAGCCCAAGCGGAGGACCCAACTGCAGAGGATTTCTGGGACGCAATGATTCAATCCATGGCCCAGAAAGCAAAAGAGAAAGCAAAAAATAAGAATCAATAAACAAAAGCAAAAGACAAGGTTAATGGAATAAGAATCTTGTCAAAAGGAAAAGACAAGGCTAATAGAATAAGAATCTTGCCTTGCTAAAAAGCAAAAGATAAGAAAGAATCTTATCTTCTTATCTTAAGGGAATCTCTTGTCTTTAGGCATAAATGTATGCACTTAATTTTTATTTTGTAAAAGTTTTTGTTTTTTGTAATAATTAATGTTCAGTAGTTCACCTACTATTGTAGGTAAATGTTACCGACTTAAATAGTAAGCCTTTGCTTCCCTATATAAGGGGATTCAAGTTTCTTTTGTAATCAAGTTTTGAATAAACGTTTATTTCTCTACCTTTTCTCATATTATCTTTCTCTACCATTTCTCCTACTTCTCCTACATTTTCCGATCCTGCTTCTGCTGCTATATATTTGTGGTATCACACACACACACACACACATATATATATTCCGTTTGATGTATGTATAAATTAATGTTTTAAAAATCGGTCGGTCATCAAACCGTGAAGGTATTGGACCGCTGGTTCATTGGTCGAACCACTGGGCCACTGGTCAAACCGCATGACTAAACCGGATAACTCACCTGAATAAACCGATCTCTATAAAAAACTATATATTTAATAAATCGGTCAAACCAGATGACTCGGTCTCTAAAAAATATCACGACACCTACAAAATTTCAAAATATCATAATTTCATAAGTTCATTCTTTAATTTAAAACTCTTAACGTAGTCATCATACACGACAAAACAATACAAAATACAAATCCAAATAAATTTTGAACAATATCTGATTACAAACGAAGAAAAATTGTTTCAAATAAGTTTTGAATAAAGTCTACTTATATTTTAATTTTATTTTTAAAAAATAAATTATCAAAACAGCATCATTATTCTGAAGAAAACAAAAGACATGCATTTAAACTGCCAGTTCACTGGTTTTTAGCGGTTTTGGCCGGTTCCCACTGGTTCAATAGAATATTCGATCCAGCAAACAGACCAGATCGGTGACCTCTTCAGTTCGACCGACCGGTTCGATCCGATTTTTAAAACACTGGTATAAATAGTAACTTCACATTTTGTTCTTATATATTCGAACCATACTATAGTGTAACACCCCGTTCCCAAAATAAAATAAAACAAACAAATAAAACACATATCAGAGTTTCTCTCCCAAACGGGATGCCACAATACACGTCAAAATTTCCACAAATATTTTTCCAACTAATTTAACTGAATTTTTCAATAAAATTGAAGCGGAAAAAGATATGGTCTGTCATAACACAAAATATTATATACATACATCATCCATATCCATCATCATCATCATATATACAATAACGGCCATTTGCCCCAAAATACACAACATCATCAAACCCCCAAAATACACAACATCATCAAACATCATCACACATATACCAAAAACAGATACGCCACAGGGGCACACATATCAACATCGACAGTAAAACTCCCAAAACGCCCCGGTGTTACGTATCAAAGAAGCCCTACGGAGACACCACAATCCAACAAGCTAAACACCTGTATTATCTGTACTTCCGAAGAAGCACAGACCACAACAACAACAAAGGGGTGAGAATTAGGATTAAATGATAATGGTATAATAGTACATGAAATAAAAGGCAGAAATCAATAATAATACTATTTCATATACATATCATCCGGACTCACGGTCCCTTCATCAACCACAACACACTACCACGCAACAATGCACTCACACAACTCTAAACATACGGTACCGACTCACAATCACGATGGGCACCGGGCCATCAACCCTCCTCACAGGAGCACATATCAACGATGGGCACTTGGCCATCAACCCTCCACTCAGGGAGCACACCACACCGATGGGCAACTGGCCATCAACCCTCCACAATGGGAGCACCACAACAATATCGATGGACACCTGGCCATCACCCTCCACAACGGGAGCACATCTCCGATGGACACCTGGCCATCACCATCCTCGCCGGGAGCACAACACATTAACATCAATGGACACATGGCCATCACCCTCCTCACTGGGAGCACACCAACAATACCGATGGTCACTGGGCCATCACCCTCCACACAGGGAGCACATATCAATAATACCGATGGTCATTGGGCTATCACCCTCCACACAGGGAACACATATCAATAATATCGATGGTCATTAGGCCATCACCCTCCACACAGGGAGCACATATCAATAATACTGATGGTCACTGGGCCATCACCCTCCTCTACGGGAGCGCACAACCATATTCACACACAACATACATCTATCACACAAGTGCAAATCGATCCTATTGATCCACCCCTCACACCACATATATATATATATATATATATATATATATATATATATATATATATATATATATATATATATATATATATATATATATATATATATATATATATATATATATATATATATATATATATATATATATATATATATATATATATATATATATATATATATATATATATATATATATATATATATATATATATATATATATATATATATATATATATATATATATATATATATATATATATATATATATATATATATACACGACGCACAAGGCATACCAATCCCACAGATCCATTCACATCACAAAATACATACATAACAAGCACACACAGTGCGTCGATCCCACGGATCCATTCACCATACAACTTATCACATACAATGCACACAAGGCATGTCG